CACCATCCTCCCAGGCCTACAATCCCTGCACTGAAGCCGCAGTAGCAATGACCTTCTCTCTCCTTGCCAATGACATATCGGACATGGGAGCTGCCTGTCAAAGCGGGTTGTTGGATGTGGGTCTGGATTAAGTCTTGCAGCTCCGTTGCTTTTCCCGTCGTGCTGCCTTTAAAGGAAGGCTCAGCAGAAGAAGAACCTGAGCGTGCAGCCTCAGGGAAGCCCTCAGATAAAGGGATTTCCAATGAATACCACTAACAGGCACTCAGCTTTCCAGTTAAAGTGGGGCAGGAGGGACTGGTTCCTCCTGGGACTGCTGCTATGCCAGGCAGAGCTGGTAGTTTCTTTGCTCCAGGGATACTTACTTGAGGCACTGCAGAGACAAGTCTCCCAGGTGCTCTGTCCTAAAGAAGTCCCCATGGGGGAAAAGGACCCTGAGAAGACCAGAGGAGCGGGATGGGGATTGCTGTGAGCAAGCAATCCCCACCCAGCATGGCCAAGGCGAGCAGCTTTCTGGGGAAGTCATTTTGTACAGCTCTGCCTTGACCCTGGGGTGTCGGGCTGAGGTTTGAGGGCCCAGGTCTGAGCTGTGAGTCACAAGCTGGACCCTGATCTCTCTGAGCCTGGCTTCTCCCTGGAAAACCCATCAACCCCATCGACCCCCGGGCCTCTTCTATGTCCAACAAGACTCTCCAGCCCCTGAAGCATCACGCCTGGAGCCTAAGGGGTGTTTGAAGGTAGATGAGCCTCCAAAACCCATGGACCCACACCCAGGTGGGCACCAGGGGCTGGAGCGGGGGGTGGATCCAGTGTCACCACTAGGCCAGAGAAGCCTGAATATCCCTCAGCATTACACTGGCATCAGGTGGAAGCAACCTCATGGATCCGAACTGAGATACTCCAGACTGATGCCAGGGGTCATTGCCCAGGTGGTTTATAGGTAGGCATAGGAGCAACTGCACCAGCTGGGTTTTCCTATATGTTTTACTGGGTGAGCTTTTACAGCCAAAGTGAGCGCAGCATCTCAGCTCCCAAAAGCATGTGCAGCAAGATGCAGATCTACTTTGGCTAGTCCATCATGTGCAAATCTACCCTCATTCCTCATGAAAAGACAGCCTCCAGGTTGGGTCCCTATGCAACCATAAAATGTCAGTGCCCACACCAGTGAGGGGTTGCATAGCCTACCCGGTTAAAGCTGAGTGAGCAGCTACAAATGTTGTTGATGCCTCAACATGGTCAATGAGGTTGAGGATAAGAATGGGGATGAGAATAAGGATGGGGAGAGAGAGGATGTGTGATAAGAAAGGCATGTGATATAAAGGTATTACAGGTGTGGGTGTCAATGGTCTGGGTGTCTTTATGCACAGAAACTTTCAGGAAAGCCCAAGAGTAAGAAATTGATTGTATAAGTAGGCTGTAAGCAGCCTGCGGTAGCATGAGGAGTAGTAAAAATAATGAATATGCAGAAAAGAAAAGGTGTAAAAAGTTTGGGAACGAAAGGTCATTGGACTACTGCATCGCTCCATCACTAAAGTACTGATCTGCTGGAAGATGCCCCTGAAGGTCCAAGCAAGACCCTGAACTCCCAGCGCAGCAAGACAGGGAGCAAGGGTGCTTGTACATCCCCCGGGTGTTTGTATCATGGAGCAGGAACAACGATGAGCTAGTGCTGCGGGTAGCATCTCCCTCCCAGCTCTGCAGGGAAACTGTGAATGCCAGGCATGGAGCCGACCTGCCCTCGCCTCCCTTTGCTCGTGACAAGAGGCTGTATTCAGCGCCCCAGAGGACAGGGCTGGAGAGCTTGTTGGCAATGAGAAAGGGAGAAGCAATAACAAGCCATGCTGTTTCTGGTGTCTCCCGACCTGCCGGCATCACGAGCCCAGTTCCCCTGGGAGACGGGCGACGAGGCAGTCATTTATCAGTGTCCGGCTGCAGCAGAGGATGAGGGGAAGGTCACCGGGATGGAGCGTGCTCTGGCACAGACTGAGACGAGCAAGGCACGAGGGGGCATGCAGGCCAGGCTGCAATGCAGCCCCACTAGGCTCAGCCACTGCAGACAGGGGCATAGAGAGGAGGAAGAGACATGCCCCCCAGCAGGGCACACCCCCTCACAACAGGGGGTACACCCCCAGCACCAGGAGAGGTGTGCCCCTCTCCCCCCCACCAGGACAGGGCACTCCCAGGAGTTGAGAGCTGCCTCAGGATTTTGCCCCACCTCTGCAGACATCTATGCCCTATGGGCGCCTTTCCTATTCCACCCTTGTGCTGGCAGCGGGGGGACGATGGCTCGGTCCCTCTGACTGATCTCTGCCGGCTGTCACGGACCCAAGGGGGCTTTATGTTGGAGGCTGGGAGGTCCAGGACTGGCAGAGTGCACAGGCCACCTGCATATGCATGCACGCACATACCTGAGCTGTGCTTTCTGGTCTGCAAGCATAGCAGAGGCTCTTGATCTCACTACAGGTCAGCTGCAAAGCTCCAGGCCACAAAGACCTGAGTACAAGCCTATCCCCATGCCTGGGAGCAGCTGTGCACACCTCACACAGGCTCTACATGCCTCAGTTTCCCCCTTCTGGAAGGGAATACCTTTCCAGAAGCCTGCTGGGAGGTGCAGAGAGCAGCCCATGCTCCTAACACCCCAAGTGCTACACAGGGTTAACTTTCCAGCCATGATCTCCCTGTTGCTCCTGAGACCCGATCCTCAACAAACAGAAGTAATGAGTCCCTGCAGCCATGCTGTCACTGAGGAGTTATCTTGCAACCCCAGATAAAAGAAGAGCCAAGAGAAGAATGAGAGGAAGAGCCAGAGCTGGAAGGAAACCAAATCCCTTCCCTGGGAGGCTGGAAGTGGGGAGCACTGGGAGCTGTTAGGGCCAGACACAGGGCTGTGTTATGACCCTGAGTCACTCCATTGGTGTCATGGAGACAGATACGGTCCGATCAGTGGCTGCAGACAGGTTGGATCGGGCAGAAACTCCTTGAGGGTAGATTACATTGAGGCAATAGGGGATTCCTGTATTCGTGCCGGCTGCTGCATGGACACAGCACAAGGGACAGCCTAAATCCTGAAATGTTCAGAGTCCAAATCAGAAGGAAGGAAGGATCATCGTCCTGACTGCACAGAGGGGAAAACTGAGGCACGGGGAGAGTAAGCGTGTATCTGCCCCGGAGGTGAGCTCAAGTCAGCCAAGCCAAGGCTGAGAGCCAGATACGCATTAGAAGCCCTGTGTCCTCACTGGTGGTGCAGATGCACTTCGGACACTGGCTTTGCCAATGGTCTTTGGCTGAAGCAATGGGAGTCGCTCTAGGAACTGCTTTGCGGTGGACTGCGGGGGACTTCGTCTGCCCCTGTCAGTCTGGGTGGGTCCCAGTCCAGCGTGGATTTTAGCCCAGAGTCGCATTTAGCTTAATGTGAATGGTCTTTATGGGAGAGTCCAAAAGGAAGCAGACAAGGACACTGGAAATCACAGGAGCCTTCAGTTCAGGTGTGCAATGAGAGTAAGACCATCACGGATGCTAATGAGAGATAGCGACTCTGGTCTGATGTGACCAAGCAAGCTCCTGTCTGCCAGCGCTGGGTTCCTCCTGATTGCTAGACCTCTGATCTTTGCCACATGCAATCACAGGAGGGCACTGGAGCCAAGGGACTTCCACCAGGGATCAGCTTGGACCAAGCCTTGGCTGGGATGATGTAGCTGGGGCTGGTCCTGCTTGGAGCAGGAGGTTGGACTAGATGTGACCTCCTGAGCTCCCTTCCAATCCTCTCTTTTGGTTGCCCAGATGAGAGTTCAGTAGCCTCTGAACTGGGTTACTAACTGTGTTTTATTAAATGTGTCTTACTGGGATGGCTTTTACTGATGAAGTGAGCACAGCATCTGATAACCCTCATTTTCTATGAGCCTATGAAGTCAGCTTCAGCTCCCAAAAGCTTGTGCTATATCTGTGTATCTACTTTGGTTAGTTTATAGTGTGCAAATCTACCCTGCCTTCTACCAGCTGTTAGTGCTCAGCCCTAATGAACAATGCTTTGCATTTGACAGCTGGTCTAACTCTATCTCAGCTCTGCAGTTGATCCAATAAAAGATATCACCCGTATAAATCCTTGCCTCTTGCATAATTCCTGGACCACCATGGCTCCAACATCACCCTGATACGGCTACTACTAAATCCAGTCTGATTTGCTGGATGCTGCAATCAGCAAAAGGCCTGAGAACTGGCTTGGGGGGCAGGATACCTGTCCCTCCACCTTTCTATCCATCCACATTGGGCGGGGTTTATTCCTGCCCGTCCCTATAGCAGCAATCACAAAGTCCCCGGTGCAGTTCACAGAGGCTCTGATGCAGGCTGTTGGGGGGGGGGCAAGGGCTTATGAGCTTTTCTGGTGTTATTAACCTCTTATTTGGGTCTGCTGGGGAGAACTGATGGGACTGAGGTGGGAGAAGGAGCTCTCCTTGCCTTGTCTAGCAGCAGTGCAGATACCGAGACCTGGTCACTGCAGCCAAGCCCAGCTGCCAAGAGTTAAGCCCATTCCCCAATCTCTTTGCAGGGTTTGGTTTCAGTCCCAGGGCAGAAATACAAATTCCCATGTAAGGGTGCACAGCACCATCTTCAGGCCTAAAACAGCACGTCGGGAAGCCAACCCTTTCCTCCTGGCTCCTGCCATGCAGACTGCCCACTTCCCATCTAGAAAGGGAGCAGAGATGGGCGAGTGCATAGGGAGTTGAGGTAAAACACTAAAGAAAAGTGGATGTGAGACACAGCCAGGCCACTTCACCCCCATCTGTTACAACCGGGGATGGTCCATGCCGATCGGATGGGAGTAACTCACCCACCCCATCAACGCCCCCGGTAGCATCTAGCCCCAGGTACAGAAAAGAGGGACAAGGCTCAGGTTAAAAATGTCCTAAGCGTCTGCTTCACTTTTAACTACCACTGCAAGAAAGGCTTGCTGAACTTCCTTGCCTCTAAAAAGAGACAGCATCTGGCACTCCCATCACCCTGGCTGCCTTATCGAGTGTTTATTAAAGACCTGTGGGCCAAGTAATTCCTTATACAAGCAAAGCTAAAGACTGCGGCAATACGGAAGTCATAAAACACACAGCAATAAAGCAATATACATTATGAGTTGCACTGGGTATAGATAGGGCTTTGCAAAAGCCCCGATGATATTGCATCTTCCCTTGTATAGTTCAGGGACTAAATCCTGCCTCTTTCCCAGTGTTCACTTTTAACATCCAATAACTTAAAAACCACAAGGGCGACATATTGAGAGAGCCGAACTAATCATTAAAAGCAATATTCATTTCAATTCCTGGGTTCAGGAATTGATCGCGTTGGCTCTGTGCATTCGACAGGCAAGCCGAAGACACGGTGTCTGCCTCTTGGGATGTTCATACACTATTTGCAGTAGCACCTATTGATGGGGTGCCCTCGGTTATCCCACCATTTCTGTCCTCTGACTATCCAAGTGAAGCCTTCTTTTGTGTGAACAGGACAGCAGGGTGCAATTCTGGCTGGGATCTTCAGAGGCAGAACTGTTCCTGAAGGTTTTTTGGGGAGGGACGCATCTCCCACAGTAGCCCGAACATGCCGGTATAACCAGTAACCCCACCTCGCCCGTCCTGAGCAAACTACCACACTGGCTGCACGTGGAAAAATCTTCATGACTCAGTATCTCCCCCGCACCCATGGTCTGAGCAGCTTTCAATTGAGAATGATGTAGAGAACGAGAAGACAAAGAAAAATAGCAGCAAAAAAGCAGGAATCCACTGTCAAGCAGCAAATGAGGCATTTGGATTCAAAATCTTTGCCTGAATTCTGATCCAGCACCCTTGTCTGGTGGGGTACGCTGGGTCTGGAGGGCTGGATGAGGCGTTGTGATTCATAATCTTTGTAAAAACTCTGATTCAGAAGCTTTGTCCGGTGGGGCGCACTGGGTCTGGAGGGCTGAATGGATGGCACTGGCATTTGGGGTACACTGGGTCTGAATGGGTGAATGGATGGCACTGGCGTTTGGGGTACCCAGGGAACCACTGGGTGTTTGTGCCCCCCATGTTGTGCTGGTCCTTGAGTCTTCCTGTGTATTCCCAGGTGACAAGCCTCACAGTCGTCACTCCTATGTGGCCCGCCGTGCCCGCCAGTCACCACTTCCAACAGCTGGCTATGGTCCACCGACTCGCCATAGCATTTCTCCCGAATGCTCATCGCCAGCTTCTCCAAGACCCTGTCGACACCCTCCGCCTTGAACACTGGCTCGCTGAAGTCGCACCGAGAGCACTGGTTGCATTTCTGTCCAAAGACCCTCATCTTCACCGAGCCTTGTCCCCTGGACCCGTCCAGGCACATGTGGAACAGGATGATCACTTGCACCGACGACCAGGCGTGCCCACACCCCGAGCACTGGAACCTAAAAGGAGGAAGGAAGCAGAGCGTGAAAGCACAGACCTCCTAGAGACGTGGGGACCTCCAGAAGTCACATCTAGTCCTTCCCCCTGCCTAAGGCAGGATCATTCCTGAGCAAAGCATTCTGTATAAATCTACCCTCCAAACTCTTCATAAGTCTAGGAAGAGTTACCTTCCTAGACCTGTATAATTACCTGTATAATCTATACAGACCACATCCCCCCAGGACCTTTCCAAACAGGCATACCCTTGGGATAGGCACTGCCCTGAGCACTGGCTGGCCACGTGTTCAAAGTGCATCTCTTCTCAGCTGCTCTGATCCCACCTCTTACTCAACACCGCAGTCTTCACCACTCGGGAGGATTCTCCCTTAGGCAGGACGACTCCTCCTCCTGTACCTCTGTGTGCCCCTAGCCTGGCCGTGCACCTTTTTCGACTCAAGGCCCCTCGCTAAACTCCAGGCCCCCTTGGAAAATGCCATCTCTTCATTCGGACTCAGAAAAATGGAGCGGTTTTCCCATTGCAAAGAACTCAGAAAACCTATTTGAGCTCCCTGCTTGAGATGGCTGGGTTTATCTTGTGAATGGTGTTCGCACACTTCACAGGGATGACATTATGCAACACCCTTGAAAGGATCTCAAGGCACCCCTGGGTGCTGTGGCACCTTGGTACTGGACTCGCCACTCCTTGCCTCCCATCGACCCCCCAGCCAAAGCCGACGAGCCAAGACCTGGATTACAAGGAGCTGGCTAATACACAGCTCTGAACGAGGGGGTCTGACTCCGCAGAGCAGGCAGGAGCTCAGAGCCCACATTTCCTGGTGAGGCTGAAGTTGGTTTCTTATTCCTGGTTCCCTAGTCCTTATCCCCAGTTCTTTACTCCTTACTCCCAGCTCCCGGTTCCTTTTTCAAAGCTAATCTAGACCCAATAAAAACTTGTTATTAATGAATTACACATCCTAAAAAGAGAGATTTTCATTAGCTACGCACATGGACTAATTAATATGTAAAATAATATTCCATATCAAGTACAGATCACTAAACGTAGGTCAGATTAGGATGGGATTATGGGGCAAAATACTTCTTAAAACACCCCAAATTTCATGGTGATGCCACTGGCGGACTGTCCTAAAGACCCCTGACCACAGTCCTGCCCTGTCCAAAGCATGGTTTGGCCGTGCCAGGCTGCCAACTAACAGCCCCCATGTCCACTGTACTTAGTATAATGGCTTGAATAAGCAACTGGCTTTCGGGCTGGGATTGTGGCTAGAAATTCTGCATGGGCCACCCGTCAGAAGAGCTCTGTGCCACTGGGGGACTGTCCTGGACAGCTGTGACCAGAGGCTTGCCCGGCTCAAGTACAGCTTGGCCATGCCCGGCTGCCAACAGACAGCATCCCCGCCACTTTGCTAAGTGTATGCACCCGAATAAGGAACTGGATGTCGGGCTGGGATTATAGCTAGAAACCCTTCTTGGGCCACCCCAGACCGCACCTCTGTGGCCCCGGGGGACTGTCCTGGACATCTCTGATGAGAGATTTGCCCAGCCCAAGACACGGTTTGGCCGTGCCAGGTTGCCAACCGACACCACCCCCCAGACACTGTGCTAAATCTATGGACCTGAATACTTAACCGTAATTTGGGTTGGGATTATACCCAGGAATCCTTCTTGGGCCACCCCAGACCACATCTCTGTGCCGCTGGGGAACTCTCCTCGACATTTCTACTTCACAAACTACTTCAAGATCGTTTCAGGCTGGACATAAGGAAGAACTTCTTTACTGTCCGAGCCCCCAAGGTCTGGAACAGCCTGCCACCGGAGGTGGTTCAAGCGCCTTCATTGAACACCTTCAAGATAAAACTGGATGCTTATCTTGCTGGGATCCTATGACCCCAGCTGACTTCCTGCCCTTTGGGCGGGGGGCTGGACTCGATGATCTTCCGAGGTCCCTTCCAGCCCTGATGTCTATGAAGTCTATGAAATTTCTGACTAGAGACTTGCCCAGCCCAAAACGTGGTTTAGGATCTGGACCCGAATAAGGAACTGTGCTAAGTATCTGGACATGAATAAGGAACTGGAATTTGGAATGGGATTATGACTAGAAATCCTTCTTGGGCCACCCCAGGACATGGGATCCATCGATGCCATAGAGGCATGGTGTGGGGTGGCCAAGAAGGATTTCCATTTCTAATCCCAGCCCAAAAGCCAATTCCTTATTCAAGCCAAGACAAGGTTCCTTGGGGGATATCTTTTATTAGACCAACCCAAATAGTTGGAGAATAGTTATTAAGCAAGCTTATTCAAGCCAATGCATTTCATACAGTGGGAATGGGGGGCTGTCAGTTGGCAGCCGGGCACGGTCAAGCTGGTCAGAGATGTCCAGGACCTCAGAGGCATGTTTTGGGGTGGCCCAAGAAGGATTTCTAGCTGTCATCCCATTCCAAATTCCAGTTCCTTATTTGGGTCCATATACTTAGCACAGTGGCAAGAGTGGAGTCAGCTGGCAGCCTGGCATGACCAAACCGTGTTTTGGGCTGGGGAAGTCTCTGGTCAGAGATGCCAAGGAGAGTCCCGCAGGGCCATGGAGGTGCAATCTGAGGTGGCCCAAGAAGGATTTCTGGGTATAATCCCTCACCCTGCTTCTCTCTGACTCTCCCAGCCCCGCAGCTGGAGCCCCAACCCCTGGGCACACCACACTACAAGGCCAGGGCAGGAGAGGGATGGGTCTGGCACTGCTTAAGTGACCAGAAATAATTCAAAGGGCAAGAGAGCCAGGGAAACACAAATTAACAAGCCTAAGAGCAGTGGCACTCAAACTTTTTAGACTCAAGATGCCTCTCCCTGGACTCGAGGCACCCCCTGTAACTTCTGTGAATTGAGGAGCACCCCATTTCCCAGGGGCTGGGCAGTGGGGGTGGAGGGATCATCTGCTTAGCTTAGCTGCTGATTTCCTCACCTTGCAGCACCCTTGAAAGGATCTAGCAGCACCCCAGGATGCCCTGACACCCTGGTCCGGAGCAAAAGCAGCAGCATTTGAGGATGTGGGGTTGGTGTGGGGCTGCGGTGGCTGCAAGCATGGAAGTGTCTTTGCAAGTGGGGGCTTCAGAGGCACCCTCCCATCCAGGCACACTGCCCTGCACACTCACACCCACACGCACAACACCTTCCCCTGCCAGTGCCAAGGAGATTGGCAGCCTGTCTTCCCACCTGGCACGTGCGTGCTCCTCCACGGACTGCACCCAACCAGGAGCCGGGCAGTCGTAACCAAGGTCCTGGTGCATCTTCAGGTCCCACTGGTCTCTTAGGTGGGCCTTCTCGATCTTCTCCCAAAATAGCTTTCTCCAAGAATCCATGCTCAGCTCCCTCATCTTCTCCTCAGTTTGGCCTCTCACCCTCCAAGCAGGTGAAATCACAGACTGAGCTTGGGACCGCTCACTTGCAGCTCCCTGGGAGACAGGCAGGGCCCCCTCGCTCCCGTTTCCCTCTCTCCTGCCCTCAGAAACCAGTCCCAGGGAGCTCTGGCCCCTCCTCTGTGCCTCTAGGAAATGAAACAAAAGGAAATCTTTTTTTGTCTGAAAGCCAAACAGGATGGAGGATTTTAACTCCTACACTGACAGCAACACGGGTGGGATCAGACAGCTGGCATTTGCACAGGGCAGCAATGCTCAGCCGGGGTGCCACCGTGCCCTTGGGGTGCCGTGAGATCCTTTCAAGGGTGCTGCAGGATGCCACATTATGTCAGCCTCGTCACATTGCACGACATAAACCCAAAAAAGGAGTGAAAGCAAAGATCTGGTGTTTTCAGAGTCTAAAAAAGTTTGGGAACCACTAGAGGAGGGGGTGCAGTGAGGTGGCTCGAGGAGGGTGGGCTTTGGCACTGGGCGTATTTCACCTCCCCCAGTTTGGTGGGCTGGTCCTGGGGGTTTGGCCCACAGCTCAGCTATGCCGGCAGCCAGAGCTCCTCCAGCGGCTTCTCCTCCCTGACCTCCCAGGAGCTGCCTGCTTGCAGCTGCAGCATTTTCCACACCCCATGGCTGCTAACGGCGCCAAAGGGTCCTACTCTGTTGAGCCAAGAGACTCACGAAGCATCCTGATCTTGCCCATCGCATCCTCGGTGCCTATTCCAAGACCTTGCTTAATAGGAAGTTAACCCCTGGGGTCCTACTCTGTTGAGCCAAGAGACTCATGAAGCATCCTGATCTTGCCCATCACATCCTCGGTGCCTATCCCAAGACCTTGCTTAATAGGAAGTTAACCCCTCAGGAACATGCTGTCCTGGACCTGTGCAGGTTGGGGCATAACCACATGCTTTGGGGGGCTAGGGGACATGATACCCCCTGCAGGGATCCTTCTCCAGTAGGGTGCAATAGTTATCAGCAAGCCCCTGGGCCAGTAGCTCTGGCTGCAGGCTCCTGCTTTTAGGGTGCACTGTAATATGAATCACCAGCACAGATCAGAGGTCTTAGGTCCTTAGTGGCACTGGGGTGCCAGCAATATCCCATCTAAGGGATGCATCCTGAAAAGCTGGCATCTCCATCTTCTTCCAGGCTCTCAGGGATGCCAGTGCACCCCGCACGGCTGCAATGACACCAGCATCTTTCTGTGTTGATAAAGGCCTGGGCATCTGTGCATTAGAGCACGCAAACACCTGCCTCCACAAAAGCTGTTGTAGTCCTTGCTAGAACATGGATTGACACACCAGGGCAGGACACGGGGCTCAGGGAGCTTCCGGCTCAGCCTCCTCAGCACTGACCTCATCTGACCCCAGCATTCTTTCCTGCCTAGGCAGAGGGTCGGACTCGATGATCTATTAAGGTCCCTTCCGACCCTAACGTCTATGAACCTATGAACCTATGAACCACTGATCAGTGCATCTAGAAACCATCCAGAGGCCTATTAATGGTATGAACTGAAGTGGGCCTCTGCAACAGCACGAGCAATCAACCTTGATCACCAGAAAGCAGACATATCTAACCTAAGCAGAAAGGTAGGAGTATTAGCTGGGCAAGGTAGGAGTATTAGCTTCTGGACCCCCGCAGAAGGCCAATGGATGGAAAATGCTGGATAGGACGGGCGCAAGACACCGAAACAGAGGTCTGGTACATGGGTCCCCCTGTCTCGTGGGAAGGCCTCAAGGTGTGGGGAGAACGGGACATGAACGATGGCACCTGCAAATGTCTTAGTAGCTGGTGAGAACGCGGATGTCAAAACCATGAAGTTATCCTGATCGGTGTATAAAATGAGACCTGGAAACCCTGGATACTTCGCACTGAGGTAAGGGCTGTGTTTTATGGGGAGGTCTTGTGTGCAGATAACCTGGCACCGTGCCCGAATGGGGCACAGATGTTCGGGAGTGCTTGAGGTCTGTGAGCAATAAGCCTGGCAGAGTCCTTTGTTACCAAGAAGTGGAGCCCACCGTCTCTTTCTCATAAGCAACGAAGTGGTTAGGAGTGGCGGTGTTGTATCACCCCCAGGATCCTGACCATGCACACACAGACCATCCAAACTGGGGGAGCCTGATGTGGCTGGTACTGCTTTGCCACCTCGGAGGGAGTCTCACCGCTATCAGTGCTCGGGAGCCCCCGTAGCCACTCACCGTGGATGTACCACTTGCTTTCTCTTCACATAAGTTATGCAATGACTAGCACACTAGATGAGACGAGCCCACGCAGGGACCATTTTGAGTGAACTGCGATGAACAGTCGCCGGGGACCACACCAGAGCAGACCAACAACCCCAGGTACAGCCCACGGTCACACGGTATGACTCAGTGTTTCCTGC